CACCAAAGGGAAACCCAAGCCCAGTGAGGACATCTCTTGCACAAACGTCTTTCCCACAACTGGGGATGTGAATTAAAATTTAAATTCATTGGATTTTCCTCTCCAGGGATCTCAAGGGATATTAAAATCCATCAAAGAATATTGAAGTCTACATAGATTACATGTGGCTAATATATTTATAGATGTTATATGTATTATGTATAAAGAAGTATGAGATATAGAATGTAAATGTAATCTGTTACTCTGGCTAAATTGTTTGATTTTGAACCCAGCCACCCTCCCTCACCCACACATTAATGGAAGATGTATCTTTGTTCATTTACTTATTTATACGCTATCCTTCTACTTATATACAGACAAATACATGTGATTACAGACTTTTTTCATTTTAAAATCATAGAACCCACAGGGACTAGTAAGAGCCAAGGACGTGATGTTCGATTTGCAAATGTGGCCTAAAAATGGAGGCTCACAAGGTTCAGTCCATCTCCCGGGCTGAGAGAGCAGCCAGACCCAGAGCCCGGTGGCGGGGCCGCACTCCAGCTCTGAGCTGCCTGAGCTTTGTGCTTCAGTCTGAGATGATGTTTCATTTGTTATGAGAAGGGGAGGGCTGGGTGCTTCATGAACACGCTTGGATTAATACTAGGCTACTTGAAAAGCCCAGTGGGGTCGGTCACTACCTGCATTTGTGGTAAAGCATCTCCTGTGACACTTGACCGAAGCCAGGCCTGATGTCCCGCTCCCCAAAAACACTGCCAGTGGGGGACTGTATCACCGATGAGGTTGTGGATGTGCTGTACATGGCTTTAGGGCTCCGCGTAGATTTTAGGTTGACCTGGGATTGAGGGTGTGGAGGGGGGAGCAGAGCGGTGTTTTCTCCCATTGGCCTTGCCCACCTGCTCCTGCCACCAGCGTTGTGTATTTCCTGGGGGCCAGAGTCAAAGCCCTCAGGTGTGGGGCTCCCTCTGCCCCTCAGAGTCAGCCTGTTACACCCCCCCCCCCCCCCCCCGGGGAACTGGTCCTTTTCTTCCTCCTCTTGTTCTGCCTGCTGCCCAGTTAGTGACCCGCTCCCGCAGTGGTGAATGAAGTGTTTATAGAGGGTCTGGAAGACTTGGAGATTCATGGTGTGTGTGTGTGTGTGTGCACGTGCACGCGTTTCAGCCGTATGCTGAGCTAACATGTTGTTGCTCCAGGGAGTATGTGAATCGTGGTGCATGGGTCAGAATTGAGCATCCTGGAGGCATCCGAGTATATGAATTTCCAAAGTGAAATTGTCAAAAGAATTTTCAGCTTTGTTGCGGAGCGGTAATTACGCAGACAAATACGTGGCCCTGTCTTCTAAACAAGGCCCCTTTTCTTGTGAGGTTAACATCCGGAGGATGTTCTGGAAGAGTTATAATTACTTTTTTCATGTTCTTAATAATGACATGACCTTTTAGTTCTTCATAATAAAGCAGATGCTTTGAACTTGCAGATTGGGGTGCAGGAAGTAAAAACAGCCAGTGTTTCTATAGGCGGTGGCAGGAATTTGGGGTTCTGTCCTGTTCCCGTGGGCTGACTTCACGTTCTGGAACAACCTCGGGGCTGGGACCGGCGACGTGCTGTAGAGGGGAGGGTACGGAGGGTGGGCAGAGCTGCGTGAATGGTTGCGTTGACTTCCGGGGCCCCAGCCTGCTTTCCCCACACCACCTAGAGCTGGCCCCGTTTGAATTTATCCACATCACCGTCTCCCCCTCTCAACACCCCCCCCCCCGCCCCGGCAGAGGCACAGGGCAGTGATGAAAGGAACCTAGAGCTATTTCTAAAACAAAAGTAAAGATGCCAAAGACAGAGAAACAGGGCTCTGCTAGCAAGCCCATGCAGGAAAATGTCCCCTTGACTTTGGGGCTTTAACGTGAGTACATTTTCTTTTAAGAAACGGTTGGCAGAAGAAGGAAGGAAGTGAAGTCAGTGATGTTTTACTTCCCTGTGGGGCTCTGCCCCTCCCCCAGGGTCTGCTTTCCAGCACTTGATTTTCCCCTGGGCTAGGGTGTTATCTGTGAGGAGGAGGAGATTGCTTGTTATGAATATTAATGAAGCCACAGGGCCGCCCCTCCGTTTCTCCCCTTGCCCACCTAATCCAGAGGACTCTCGCTAAAGTATCTAAATTCTGTCCTTCGAACTAAGTAAAGACCTTCCTTAGCTGCATTGTCAAATGGCATGCTTATTTGAAAGTTTTGGGGTCACTTATATAAGTTCCAAGTAATATCTGCATACCCACAAATCAGGTTTCAATTGTGTCTTGCCTCCTTTTATTAATGTGTGGCGTTTAGTCAAAATCAGACATTGTGGCTCAGTAGCTGGGTCTTCCTTTTTGTTCAGGTGTTGGGGGGCAGTGGAGTAAGGGAAGGAGAGCTTTCCAGCTCCTACAAGGGCTTCATGTGATGGCAAAGGCACAGGGGGCAGGTGGTTCTAAAAAGCAGAAAGCCTCCATTTCAGGCCGGAGCTCCTTTCTGCTCCAAGTGTATGAGGAGAAGAGCAGCCAGTAAACTTGCAGCTAAAAGCAGGCACACGTTAGGATCAACAGAATGGCCAAATGATCAACTTCTCTAATAGAGACTGGATTAATAACCATTTGCTAAAAATCCAAAGATGCCTCAACCTTGCAGTTGATGGAGCAGAATATTAGGCAGTGATTAGCCGTGGACTGAGGACTGTCTCCAAAGCAGAGCCTGGGGCTGAGTCCGTTGCTTGAACATTCCCCAAGGACCCCATTTTGGGGGCAGTCCCATCCAGTGCGTGGGGGTATGAGAGACCGACAGGGGAGGGTACCTGAGTTCCTACCTTGGCATTTGAGCATAGGGCAGAACGATCGTATCACCAAGGGGATTAATCCAGGAAGAGGGTCGGGTTTGGGCAGGAAGATAATTCCGGAACCTTTTGAGCTTGAGGTACTTGCAGGGTCGTTCATGCAGAACCCTCTGGACGGTATGAGAAAGATAGTCCCCAGGTCAGTAGCTATAAGCAACTTCTGGGTCCAGATCGGCATCCTGAACCAAGGAATTACATAGGAAGTAGCAGCAGGTGAAGAAAGAATAGAAGCGCCCATGCGTTCCCGAAGAACACACACACCTCTTAGGAGTGGCCTGAACAGGAGCAGGTAGCAGTGAGGACTGACCTCAAGGGGAATCTGGGAACCTGAAGGGAAGGGGCTCCAGAAGTTTGGGGCACTGTCGCCCGGAGAGGTTACACGGGGCAGAGTGGTTTAGTAGTGATGAGGTTGCTGGAATTCCTTCACCGAAGCGCTTCAGGGTGTGGTGGGGAGAGAACCCCTATTTCACTGGAAGAGAAGTGAGTAGTAATTAAGGCCATCTGCCAACCACATTTGTTTTGGTGGCTAAGAGGAAGCAGAAGGATTGAGGAAGCTGTGTTGGGGTGGAGGAGAGAGGAATGGGTTAAAGAAAGCAACCTGAAGCCGCTGATGACCCAGGCTGGGAGCATAATGGATGCCCTCCCTCCCTTCATTCCAGAGAAGCTTTAACTACCCAGTGGGTCTGGGTGTCTCCCCTGTGATGTCATCTATACAGCATATGGTTAGTTAGAACCAAGGGAATGAATCAAGTCGTTCACTGTCTATTGCAGGAAGCCAGGGGCTGGGCAAGGAGCCAGCCCTTCTGTTTCGATCTGCCCTGACTTTCCCAGCCCCTGGCTTCGCTTCCTTAAGTGTGTGCATTCCTCCTGCCCTCCTCTGCCCATCCTGACAACCTTGATGAATCGGCAGTGGGGTCAACAGTTCCAGAAGGCTCTGAGGCTCGGCACTGCTCAGAAGGGAAGTCACTCTCCCAATGCTGGAGGCATAGAACGGTGGCATCCACGGGGTTGAATCACAGGCCATCCTGACTTGGGTTCAGGGTTTTATTCCACTCTGAGCACTTCTCACTTCTGACTCAAGGCTCCGTGTCTGGATTTTTACCTTTTTTCTTTTTCATCCATCCCCTTCACTTAAGCTGGCTTCTAGCTTTCCTGAACAATTGGTTTAAAGATATTAGCCAGATTCATTGTGATAAATGGTGTTTTAATTGTCTCTGGAATATTCTTTTCTCATCAGTGCATAAATTCACAGATACCGCTGGTGCGTGCTTGGAGAGGTGTAGGCTGGACCCCCTTGGCTCAAGTTCAGGCTCACGATCTCATGATAGCTGACATTAGGCAAGCCACGTGTTACTTTGTGCCTTGGTTTCTAAGGCTGTTTAATGGTAGTGCCGAGGGCACCTGCCTCATAAGGCCACCACGAGGGGTAAATGAGTTTGTGCTTGTAATGTGCTCAGCATGGCAGACCGTGCTCCGTAACTACCTGCCATTATCAATACTCCTTTCCTCTCTGCTGCTTAAGCCCCTGGTTTATCAACATTGGTTACAGCCTGGAACCATGAGAAATAGAAATATATACCCAAAACTCTGCCGAAAGTGCCCACATTGTTGTCATCTACCACCCGGCGGGGCGGGGGGGGAGTCTGGATCCTCCCTGTACCTGGGGCACCTGTCCTGCCCCTATTCCCACCTCCACATGTGTGGGTCCCCGGTACCCCTCAGTCCTGTTTTTCTCTTCCTGAGGGCTTTCCACACAACTCTTTGTCTGATTTAGGCTAAGGGCTCTTGGGGGGCAGAAACCTGGTCTGTTAGTGATCTCCATGCTGTTGTAATGACACCAGAATCGCCCAAGGGTGGATGGGGAAAAAATATAAAATGAGACCAAATTAAAATGATGACAAAATAGTTCTTCCCCGTCTCTTTCGAAGTACAAGTGGACTTCTTTGTCTACAGAATGACTGGGGTAATTTCCAGGTCTCCTTCTGGTGCTAATATTCAGTGACAATCCAGAGAAGGGAGAGGTACAAATAACGGGGGATTGGAAAGGAAGACGTGAAGGTTGCTGTTGAGTGCTCTGGGGCTGGGACCGTTTCTGGGAACGTTTCCACTGCTGATGTTTTCGTTCTCACCCCCTTTGACTCTGTTCTCAGGGAAGGCCGCTCAAATGCCCACATCAGAGGAGATTACCAAAGAATCGGAGATGTCCTGCTGAAGAACATTCAGGGCATGAAGGTGAGCCGCTTTGGGATTTGGGGGGAACACGTTCCCTAGGGACAATAATCTCGGGGCTGTCGGAGGCCTGGGCTGTAACCGCTGTCCACAGGCAGCCAGGACCTGATAGGACGATCTGCAGAGGCTATTATTAATAGTTGAGTTTGGGGGGAGTTAAAAGTTAAATGCCTATTCTTAACTGCATGGAGGAGTCCATGCTCCGAACCCCGATGTTATTCGAGGACCCGCTGTACGATCCTGCCAAGGGTGGGCTCCCACCTGCACTTACTGCCTTCAAGGAGGCTTGGCCTCCACTGTGGCCTCTGGGGACAGCAGTTGGAGACCTGCCAGCCCATTCCCTGCCCCCCTTGGGGACAGTCCCCAGAGGTGTCCTTTTTACCGCTCGCCCACGGAGAGCTGACGTGCATGGGCCTCCGGCCTCCTCTCCATTCACCTCGCACCTGAGACCTCCTGGAACATACTCGGTTTGCGCTCATAGCCGTTCTCTTTGCTCAGTCTGCTGAGTTGGCATTTCTGTGTTGAGTCGGCTTCATCGGCTGCTGGCAGCATGAGCTGGTGTGCGGATGCCATGAGCATTTATAGCATGCAGCTCTGTGCAAGCAAAATAAAAATAGGTGGAGAGGCTCAGACAGCCACGGCGGCCTTTTTTAGAATTTGTTTGGGTTGCTTTTTCTTGTAATGATAGTTGGTTTTAAAGAATTTTTATGAAGTATGAAGGGAGGGCGGCAGAAGGTTCTAGAGATGCAGAAGTCCAGGTTAGCGCTTTTGTCCAGAATGCTTAGAGTGACCTGCAGCTTGCAGTGTCCTTCCTGCCCCCCACCCCCCAACACACAAACCCGTGTATGTACCTGCATTTGCAGGGACTCAGCGGGGGTGCTGACCCTCCCTCCACTCGTGACCATGACCGAGGCAGCTGGGCCAGGGGCTGCAATTCCTGCCTGAAAGTCACATACCCAGATTGTGATCTCCGGCCCATGCTGTGACCTTCCACCTGGAAACATCTGCCCAGGTGCGCAAAGTCACTTCGAAATCACACAAATAAGATCCGCCTTTCATCCAGGCTGGGACCTCCATGCGAGCCATCTGTCTCCTCAAGTGCCCAACTCCTGCTTCCTCTCCTTCTTAAACTCCTACCACATTACTCCCTCCGGCTCTCAGTTTGCTGTCTGCTGGATGACTCGACCTGCTTCCTGGTGCCTCCCCTCCTCCCAGCGAGCCGAGCTCCCAGTCACCATTTATATTTCAGCCAGACCGCCTAGGCTCAAAGCCCTCCTGCATCTCTCTGATTGGGAGAATACAGTCCAAACCCAAAACGTGACGAAGAAAGCCTTCATAGTCTAGCCTTGGATGATCTTTCCAGGCCCTTCCCGCTGTCCTTCACATTCCACTCTGCTCCAGTTGACCATGAACTCGCCTCTCCAGACTCTCAGGTTCTTGCAAGACTCCTGCCTCAGCTGGGTGCATGTATGGGTTCATTTGCTCTTTTTTGTTGTTTTTAAAAGTAACCTCTACTTCTAACACGGGGCTCCCAACTCACAACCCCGAGAAAGCAAGAGTTGCATGCTCTAGCAACTGAGCCAGCCAGGTGTCCCTCATTTGCTCATTAATGCATGCAGGGAACAGGCATTTACTGAGCACCTATTGTGTGCCTTAGGCCCCGAGGATATAGGAACATGACAGATGTGCTCTCTTAAAATCAAATAAGGGACTGCACATGTGATAACACTGCATAGAGCTGCACATGCACGCACAAGGGATGTGTAACTGGTAGAATCCAGACAAACTCCAGATTGGACCAGTGTCAGTCTCTTGGTGTTGACATTATGCTATAGTCACACAAGAGGGTAACGTTGGGGGAGGCTGGGTGAAGGACCTCCCTGTACATTTCTTTGCAAGTTCCTATGCATTATTTTTTTTAAGTAGTCAACAACCCCAGCAGGGGACACCATGTGATAAGGGCTAAGATGGACAAATACAGCCTAAGTACAGGAAGAAAGAGGAGTCCCTAACCGGTGGAGGCGGCTGGGTGTCAAGGGAGTTGCTGAGGCCGGCAGGAGTCCAAACGGGAGTGTCATGTGCGGAGGCTCTGAGTGCAGCAGCCTGGCACATTCAAGTTCAGGTTGGCCCTGGGATGAGTGGCAAGAAGCAAGACAGGAGGGGTAAAGAGATTATATCCTAAGGGCCCTGTGTGCCCTGCCGAGGACTCTGGAGGTTGTCCCAAGATGGGGGGAGCTCATCATGTTCCAACCAAGAGGCCACGAGCTGAGCTCTGTCGCTGATTCATGTCAGTGGCTTAGGTGTGGAGGGGTGAGGCGTGGAGGCCAAGGCCCCGATGGAGACACGGCCACTGTGGTGGGGGGTGCAAGGCCAGAACCAGGGCAGTGACTGTGCGGAGAAAGACAGGAAAAGGTTTGATGTTTTTAGGAGGTAGACTGGGAAGGACTTGGTAAAGGATTCAAAACATGGGGGAATCTGGAGTGTTCTCTTGGTCTTCCTGTCCCGAGTAACTGGCTGGTGGTGGCACCCATCCTGAGGTTAGAGAATCTGAGTGGCCCCAGTTGAGGCAGGGAATGTGGGGTTCCCACCCGGACTTGCTGCATCTCAGGCTCTTGAGGAAGCCTTTGCAGGGCATGGAAATGTAGATGTGGGGGCGAGCGGCGCATGGATAGCAAGCCCGCCCCGAGGAAGTGAGTGTTGAGGACAACTGCTGTTCCTGGATGTCCTTGTGCCCATCTTATTACCTTTATCTGTCTGGAAACGTCCTTCCCTTGAGATTCTTCCCCATCTGCCCTGAAGAATGAATTCCTCCATTAGTGCTTTCTTCTCCAACTCTTTACCCTCGCCACTCCACCGTGATAGCTATGATAGGAAAGGAATCTTCAACGGCATGTGTTAAAGATGGTCAAGCAGACTTTATTCAGGACCACTGTGACTGGGGTAGGGTCCCCTGTGGTGGGGTTTTCGGTGGGGGAGAGACTGGGCTCAACTCTGAAGACGGTTTGGGCAAGCGGGGATTTCTAGCCAAGGGGCAGGGTCAGAGGATGGGAACGTATGAAGAGGAAACATCAGGGTAAGTCAGGTTCTCGCTGAACCAATCTGACAGCTTTCCTTGCTGAAGACGGGGTGATCTGATATCACCTGGGGATGATGAGAGATGAACCCAATGTCAAGGGTGACCAGATATCCAGGGTGTAGGGGTTCTGGTTAGGCTGACTTAGCAGGGTTTTTGCTAAAACTGGCTTTCAGGAAGGAAGTTCACAGACAGGTCAAGGAGAAGGCTCAGGGGCCTGAAGAAAGGTTGGTCAAGCGAAGCATCTTTGTCAGACCCCAGTAGAGTAGGGTCCATGTCTAATTCTCACTCAGCTCTCCAGGATCGAGCAGAGTAGGTGGCACATCGCAGATACTCACTTATTGATAAGTGAAAGGGGTGAGTTAAATAGAAATGCACAGTGGTAACTGTGTGACATTTATTGAATGGGCCCTGGTCTGTTTGTCATCTGGTGACATTTAGAAGAAAACCACAGGCCCCCTGAAGGAGCTCCTGTTGATCTATTCCCCTCCATTTTGTCAGTCTCACCTCTTAAGATAACATATACATCTCCTACTCCAAAATCCCTAAGTATTTTCAGCTGCGTGATGCTTTACTAGAGCTTTTTCTTTGATCCCGAGAACCCAACTGAAATTATGAAATAAATAGCAAAATGGGGACAATAAGAAAGAACGAAATGAAGCCTCGCAAGCCAAGGCGACCTTCATTTCCGAGAGGCAGGAGCGGTGGGACGCATGCGCACTTGTCTCTCTCCCCCCCCCCCCGCCCCAGCAACTGGCGGCTCACCTGTGGAAGCACAGCGAAGCTCTGGAGGCGCTGGAGACGGGCATCAGGGGCTCGCGGCGGCTGGAGAACTTGTGCCGAGACTTCGAGCTGCAGAAGGTGTGCTACCTGCCGCTCAACACCTTCCTCCTGCGCCCGCTGCACCGGCTCATGCACTACAAGCAGGTCCTGGAGCGGCTGTGCAAGCACCACCCGCCCCACCACGCCGACTTCCGGGACTGCCGGGGTGAGCCGGGGGGCGGGGGGGGAGCCGGGGGGCGGGGCAGCCCCCTCCCCCCTTCCCCCGGACGCTGTGCCTGGGCTCCCGTGATCCCTCTTGGTCTCTCCGTAAAGGAGCTGCTCCTGGCCCTTAGGACCTCCCTTCTTTGATCTTGGCTGGTTTGCCCCACTTAAGAGTCAGCCCCCTCCAGGAAGCATTCCGCTACCCACGTGGTTGAAACTCTCCACTCCCTCCTTGGGTTGGCTGCGGAAAATGGCTTCTAATAATCAGTCCTTCTGCTAATTGCTGCTGGGCGCTTGTAATGTGCTGGTCACCTTAAGAAGCACTTCACCTTTATTGACTCCTGATATTCACGGCAGGGGTGAGCTCATTTTACATATAGGGGCTGCTGAGACCAGACAGGTTAACAACATGCCCAGAGTCACAGAGCTGGAAAGCAAATGGCTCGGAGCCCAAACCCAGACCCCACGTCCTTGACCATCCTGTCCTGCTGTCATGACGATACCGCTCCCTGTCGCGCGCTCAGCACCACGCCCTCAGGTGCCGTGCCAGGTCTCTTAGTAATACTGGTGCCTTTACTCCTTCAACAACCAACAACAGTAAGAACTGTTACCCCATTTTACAGACGAGATACCTGGGCCACTGGTACCTCTCTCCTAAAGCGTTACAAACACCTCCCATCTATGTCCTCTTTTTCTAAATATACTTCTTACTCTTTTGCTTACAACCTGAGTGACACCAGATTCCCTCAAGCTACAGTCAAAACGTCATGCGCTGGCCCCTGACCAGTCTCATGCAGCATATACGCATTGAGCACCTGCTGTGTACTAGGCATACGAGAGGGAATAACGCAGATGTGGCCCCGCTCACAGGACCAACTAGTGGGTACAGAAGGCAGGACATCTGGGCGGTGACTGACCTGTGACCCGACCCAGCCTTCGGGGCTCAGGGGGAGCTTTCTGAGGGAAAGGCTATTTTAAATTTAGATCTAATGTATAAAATTTAGGAGTTTTCCTGGATAGAGTTGGGAATAGCATGTACAGAGGCCCACAGGGGACAGAGACTCTGGAACATTCCAGAAAGTAGAAGTTCTGTGTAGAACACAGAGGGATAGCAGCAGAAACAAGACTGGCAAAGTAAGCAGAGACCAGATCTCGTGGGGTCTCGTAAACCCCACAAGACTGCAAGGAAGAGCAAAGGGAAGACAGGGAGGGTTTTAAGGAGGGAAATGAGGATGTGGGGCTTATTGCAGAAAAATCAGTCCTTTGGTATCTAGGATATGTAGACAAATCTTATAGATTAGTTTTTTATATTTTTTCAATTTTTTAAGATTTTTTTATTTGAGAGAGCGTGCGTGAGCAGGGGGAGAGAGAAGCAGATGCCCCACTGAGCATGGAGCCCGACGTGGGGCTCGATCCCACCACCCTGAGATCATGACCTGAGCCAAAACCCAAAGTCAGACACTTAATCAGCTGTGCCACCCAGGCGCCCCCGTTGACAAGTATTTCCTGACCAAAATACCTAAATGCTCAGCTACTGTGGATTGACATAAACTAAACTTGCACTAATTGGGCATCAGCTCCTTTTCCATATCAGATACGTACCCGCGTAAGGGAGATGTGCCCATACCGCAAAATGAAGCAGCCTTTTGCAGTCATCTTGGTAAACGGTGTAATTGCTGCAGAAGGAAAAACCGGCGGGGGGGGGGGGGTTGTGCTGGAATGTCAGGTGCCCCAAAGTGTCACACTATCAGGGAGACTCTCTCTCAGAAGGATCCCTCCTTTGCCCCAGATTTTTCTGTGCGCCCCCCCCCCCGCCCCGTGTTCTGTTTTTTCCAGGTAACAGGAGGTGGGTAGAAACCTCTGCCCTGGGGACAGAATTCCAGGTCCCCTCCCGCTTACTCCCCTCCCGCTTGCCCCTCCGTGCCAGGTGCTTCCAGCCCAAGGACAGCTGTCTACCATATAGCCACAAAGGGGCCGTTGACATTTCCAAAATGCACTTAGGAAACTCAAGTAAAGCAAATAAACACATAATGCAAATTTTTTTATTTGTGAGAAATTTTTATGAGGAATAGCAGTGTTTTCCCCCAGGAGGATGGCTTCTAACTTAGTTCAGCTACTGGGGATGTTACCCAGAGGGCTGCTACCAGGGTGCGGGGATGCGGGGGAGACCCTGGCCTGCCATTCATCCCACTGTTCCTGTGTCTGTTCGCTTCGTTAGCTGCTTTGGCGGAGATTACTGAGATGGTGGCACAGCTTCACGGTACGATGATCAAGATGGAGAATTTCCAGAAGCTGCACGAACTGAAGAAAGACTTGATTGGCATCGACAATCTCGTGATTCCAGGAAGGGTAAGCAGCTTGCTGGAGGCCAAGCCAGGAAGGCGATGTTCAAGTGACTTAAGTTTGAACCTTTTGAACACGGACTCTGGTTTAAGACACCCTCCTCCCGAGTGAAGTGGCTTCCTTCCAGCTGCAAGGCAACTAGGAAGACACCTTGACCATGACCGTGTCACTCAAACCTGTGTTAGGAGGAGATAAAGCAAGCCTTTGACCTCCTATCTACTTTTTTCCCCTTACTGGTTGATTGGCTAATTTACTTTCCTCCTACCATATTCTGAGAAGATTTGAGATAGCTTATTTTAGCTTTTAAAAGTTAGGTAAATGGAAATGGAAGCTAAAGGAGAACTTTTTTTTTTTTTTTAAACAATAGGATAAAATGGTGATACAAAGGCACAGGAAAATTAGTGCCCAAAAGCACGTAAATTCCCGTGTAAGGATGAAAAGAATTTTTAAAAGATGCAGTTTTCTGTGCATAATATAATTTTAGAATTAAAATAACGTTTTAGCCAGAACGTGATTCTCGGAGAGATACGCTTTCACTTAAGCTGTTAACCTTCACCCGCCCTGCCCCTCACGAAATGTAGGTCGCTCACGGGGAAGCAGGGCCTCACTGTGTGCACACACTCCTTCCAGGCCAGGGGCATGTGAAAATACAGGGCAGCCTGCCCGCTTTCAGTTCTTTTCCTAGGAAGCCATCATTGCCCAGGGATCAAAAAAATCTTAGGTGGTACATCCACTCTGTCTATAGGACCTTTATCCCTAGAGCTGCCCCATTCCAGAGTATACATCACCCAGGCTCCAAAGAAAATTTTGGTGCCTTGGGTCTGCTGCACATCTGCCTTAATCTTTTTTTTTTTTTTTAAGAGTTATTTGAGAGAGAGCGAGCACACTCACCTGCATGCGTGAGCAGGGGAGAGGGGCAGAGGGAGAGAGAGATTCTCCAGCAGACTCCCCACGGAGCGCAGAGCCCGACGCAGGGCTCGATCTCACAGCCCTGAGATCACGACCTGAGCCGCCCACCCCCATAGCTGCCTAGTCTTCAGACAGGTGCTGTGTCCGGTATGCCAGGCGCTTTCCGTCTTGTCTGCCAGGCAGCTGCCCCAGAAACTGTACCGTAGGGAAGACGAGGGAACCTCTCCGTGTATTTGGGTCTCTCTGGCAGGGTGCCTAATTACAAGGCTGTCCGGAAAACTAGTTGTGAAAGATTGTCAGGAGAGGCGTATGTGGTAAATGCGGGGCGGGGGAATGAAAGCCAGGGCTTGCTTCAGCTCTGCAGGGGAGAACATTCTGCCGGGCCTCAGCACATAACAACCATGCTGACCCATCCACACGGGAGCCGTAGTAAAGGCCAGTGGAATCACTGTGATTTTTCTCTTAACTTTGGATGTTCTAAAATCTCTAGGTGGCAGACAGACCACCTGGAAAGAATTTTTTAGCCCTGCGTTGGACTCGCTGCTCCATGGGGAGTCTGCTTCTCCCTCTACCCACCCCACCCCCCACGCTGTACTCTCTCTCTCTCAAATAAATAAAATCTTTAGGAAAAAAAAATTTTTTTTTTTAATTTTGAGGAAAGGTCCCCACTGGTGCTATAAAAAGAGGAGCAGATTGGAGCAGGAGGCCCCAGGTTCAGGTCCTGGCTCCACCAGAGCTGGGTGTTTACACCAACCAGATTGTTCTTCCTTTCTGTAACATGGGCATCCTATGCTCTCCCTTGTAGGCCATAAGGATCAAATGAGATTTAGTGTATAAAAATAACACAACAAATGTGACTTTATTTTCTCTTTCCCCCACCTATAGTTATTTGAAGATTAAGTCTACACTTAACTGTAATGGTAGTGATTCATAGCACAGCATTGTGGAAGACATTTAGCTAAATATGGGTTCTGTCACTCACTGGTCTTGGGCAGCCTTCTAAATCATTTTGCTCCTTAGTTTATCTGAAAAATGGGGATAATATTGAACCTACAGGCTCCCACAAGGTGCTGATAGAAGCACCCAGCTGATGTCAGGCACATACCACGTGCTCATGATTATTTATAAAGGCGAAGTTGGAAGTGGGGTGCTGGTTACTAACTGCCTTAAATCGATATTCTTTTGTTCATCAACCAGCCTCAAGTCAACCCTGAATGAAATGGGAAGGAGGGAATCAGAGGCCCTCCGGGGAACAAGTTCTAAGATGGGGTAGTCCATATACCAAGGCTAATTGATTATCATTAATTAAATTATCAAATAACCTCATGGGTGGGAGGAAAGCTCTGATTTGTCTGTAAGTAGAATTTTAAAAATTGAGATTTAAAGGGGAGTAGATAATTTTAGAGACACCCCCTCGGCCACTGCAGCATAATTCCTAGCATGGCATAATCCTGCTCACCTTCCTGCTGGGGTCAGTCTGAGACAGTATCACATCCTGGAAGGCAGGATTTTTCCCCCAGGCATAAAGGCCACAGCACGCTTTGGCCCGCGTCAGCCCCCCTGATGGTGTTTATCCTAAGAACTGTGTGCCTGAGGGAGCGATTTTCCTGGGCTGGCCTTCCTGTCGGAGGAACACATTCAGAAAGGAAGTAGGGTCTGGAGGTGTGTGAGGTCCGTTTGGTTAAAACTCAGAGGTGTGGACTGGATTTCCCTCCAGAAGGAAGCAGCTTGCTCTTAAGGATATTCGAGGCCATCCCCCCTCCCCATTCTGTGGTTTAAAAAGAAAAATTCTAGGCACGAGACATTTCCCATCCCCAGCCTCAGACATTGATATCTGAGTCTGCAGCCCTTCTGCTCCTGGCCGCTGAAGCCCCCTGGAACATAGACGGGGCTCCCTTGTCTTCTTGCAGTGAGTGTCGCAGGGCACCTCGTCTCCCGCACAGAAAACAGTCACACTCCCTCAGATTTGTTAAAAAACACGTGTTCCAGCTGTGCAAGGTGGGAGCAGCAGGTTCAAGACCAGATCCCATCCTCGGCTGCCCGGCAGTGATGCCCCCCTCCAATATCATTTCCTCGGATCGCATTGTCGATGTCTGATAGCATCCCTGCCGAGTTCCTGTGAGGATCTATGTTCCTTTGTTGGTCCCCAGAACACATCCCTGAAACTGCCAGCAGACATGGTCTTTGATCCACATTTCATAAAAAAACAAAGAGTTGAGTCAGGCTGTGCAAAAATCTATAGAATCAAAATGAGTTGGCTGACTCCTTGGCTCAGTAGCTGTTGTGAGCACAGAAAAACCTGGTGGCAGGTGTCTAGAAGTCTATTGATACGTAGCAAACTATTCCGATGTGTAGTGGCTAAAGACAACTTTTCCGAATAGGTCATGGTTTTGCGAGTCTGGAATTGGGCGGGGTTCAGCCAGGTGATTCTTCTGCTCCCTGTGCATTGACAGGGGTCCCAGATGGGCTGGTCTGGAGGATCCGAGGCTGACATCTGGCAGGGACATCTGGAAGCTCAGCTGGGACTGTGCACCACAAAGCCCATGAGAAGCCTGGCTGACCCTGGGTTCAGGGTTGTCTTAATGCTGTGTGCCGCTCAGGGTTCCAAGAGCAAGTGGTTCCCAGGGACAAAGCAGAGGCTACTTTGACCTAGTTGCATAGTGTCAGGTCTACACTCATTGGTCAAATCGGTCACCAGCTCACCCAGATCTAAGAGAGGCAGACAGAGACCCCGCCTCTACGGGAGGAATGTGAAAAACGTTAATGAACTTGCAGCCATGTTGAAGCAGCAGCACTATGGAGAGCGGTTAGGTGGTTCCTTAATAAGTTAACCATAGAATTTCCATATGACCCAGAAATTCCACTTGTCAGTATATACCCAGAAGAATTGAAAACAGGTATTCAAACCAAAAAAACTCTTTTTTAGAAATATATGGGACAGCACTTCCTTTTTTTTTTAAGATTTTATTTATGTTTGAGAGAGAAAGAGGGGGAGAGCATGAGCAGAGGAGAGTGGCAGAGGGAGAAGCAGATTCCCCGCGGAGCAGGGAGCCCAATGTGGGGCTCGATCCCAGGACCCTGGGATCGTGACCTGAGCCGAAGACAGACACTTACCCTGGCGCCCCCTCAAACAAAAACTTGAACGTGAGTGTCCATAGCAACATTTTCCATAGTAGCCAATAGGGGAAAAAACCCAAGTGTCAATCCTCAGATGAGTAGATCAACACAATGTGATGTAGCCATACAATGAAGTAGCCCGGGGAAGGAAGGGAGTTCTGATACATACCCCAATGTGCATAAAACTTGGAAACACGCTGAGTGGATGAAGCCAGACACAAAAGGTCATATATGACAAGATTCGATTTATAGGAAATATCCAGAATGGGCAAATCCATAAAGAAAGAAAACGGATTGGTGGGAGCCAGGTGCTGGGGAAAGGGGGGAGTGGGGAGTGACTGCCTCGTGGGCACGGCTTTCCTTTTGGGTGGTGGAAACGTCCAGACCTAGGTGGTAGCGATGCGTACACATTCTGAATGCACTAAAGGTCACAAACGGTCACTTTTATATGTATTTTACCACAGTTTTTAAAAAATGATAGTTTTGGGGGGAGGTTAAGTGCCCCGAATGACCAGTGTCCTCTAGTTTATTAATCTGGAGGGAAGAATTCCTTAGACGCGCTTGCTTCTGGCTGTTTTATCCTAGAGCACAGTTGCTGGTTTCCAGGAACCAGAGCTGTGAGTCGTGGAGCAGTTCCTGGGTTCGGGGTAACTCCCCTCTGGCTCATCTGTCGTCCCAGTGCCCTGCTGCCACTCTGCACGTGGCTGGGGCCCCTGCTACCCCCCCTGCAGTGGGAAGCCTGCCGGGCCCGGGGGTCGTGCGCAGAGCCCGCTGCACTGGCCGCGGAGCCACACCGTCGGGGCCTCTGAGCGCTGGTTTCTGTGCGAGCGGAGCCCATCGGGAGTCCCTGCCTTGTGGGTTCCTGGGAGGGACAGCAGTATTCGGTGAACAGTAACTGTGATGGCGCTGGTTCTCGTCGTGAAAGGGAGCGTGGCATGAGGCCACCAGCATCTCCCCGCCAACCGCTGGGGTCGGTCTGCTTGCTCTGCAGGAATTCATTCGCCTGGGCAGCCTCAGCAAGCTCTCTGGCAAGGGGCTCCAGCAGCGCATGTTTTTCCTGGTAAGTGCCGACAGCCGTTGGTCTTCACAGTGATGGGGGACCCCATGGGGTCACAGGGCGGGCCCGGGCCACCCGGGAGGAAGGAGGAGCGGCCAGCGCGCCTCAGCCAGAGGGGCTGCAATCAGTGAGTTGCCACGCAAGATTCTGAAAAACACGCTCTGCACCTGCTGTTTGAGCAGAGCCCATCCACCTCATCCGCACTTGTCCTTGCTCCTCTAGTTCAACGACGTCTTGCTGTACACGAGCAGGGGGCTGACGGCCTCGAATCAGTTTAAAGTCCATGGACAGCTCCCGCTGTACGGCATGACCGTGAGTATGCGCCATGGGCATGCGATCAGGGCCCCTTCCCTGTGCGCTGCCTGCAGGTGGCAGACCGAGCTAAAGGGAGCGGGAGACCGCCAGCTGAGGAAGGAGAAGGAGGGTCGTAACCAGGCACCTTAGGCCCCATTCGGGCTCCCCAAGAGGGGCTCGGGACACGGCTTCTGGTGCACGTGAGATGTACGGGTGACTTCCTTCTAGAATCAAGTGAGGAAGCCAGCTGACGTGGCCATGAGGTATGCCTGGGCCCAGGGCCCCTGAAAGAGAGTCCTCACCACCCATGTGGCGAGGTGGAGCCCGCCCCTCGAGCGGGGAGCCACCTGTCCGGCGCCAGAGATGCGCCCGTGGGCATCCATGATGGCCAGGACACCAGTGTGCACGGGATGATTTCCCCGGCTTAGCCTCCCGCTCTCCTCCGTCACCGGATAGAGGGAAGTTTACGTGCTCTGCCAAAAAGCAATTCAGTGCATTTGGACCTTCCTTTCGGCTTTCTGATTGTGATTTTTCTGACTTGGTTCCTCTGAGCCATAGCCAGTGTAGCGAACGTTTGTTTGAAAATGCGCTCGCCCCTTGGCAGTAACGTGATGCGCACTCGTCCCACAGATCGAGGAAAGCGAGGACGAGTGGGGTGTACCCCACTGCCTTACCCTCCGCGGCCGGCGGCAGTCCATCGTCGTGGCGGCCAGGTAACGCGGACACGCGCCCCTCACCTGTCTGCCCCTTCCCCCGCCGTGCTCTGAAATCCTGCCGCCCGGCTCTTCAGCTGCAGGTCCGAGATGGAAAAGTGGGTTGAGGATATCCAAATGGCCATTGATTTGGCAGAGAAAAGCAGTGGCCCCACTCCCGAATTCCTCGCCAGCAGCCCCCCTGACAACAGTAAGTGTGTGTGTGGGGGGGGCGGGCAGCTGTTCTGGTGCCGCCCGGGCAAGCCATGGCGGGTGCGAGACAGCTCGGCTCAGCCGGGGGGGCATCCCGGTGCCTTTAAAAATCACCCTCCCAGGTGGGCCCCATCTCTGTGATGGACATTTGTGTTTATTTTTTTATCCCTAATTTTTGATTACATATGTACAAAATCATGTAATTGGAAGTTTATAGAAGAGAAAAAAAGTCCCTCTAATCCAAGGACTTTAATGTAGCTGCTGTTATCAATTTGACATGTCCTTCTATTTTTTCCCTATACATGGTTCCCCCCCCCCCCGGAATTTTATTTGAATTCTAGTTAGTTAACATACGGTGCAATATCGGTTTCAGGAGAATTCACTAGTTCATCAGTTGCATGCAACACCCAGTGCTCATCACGGGTGCCCTCCTGAGTGCCCATCCCCCATCTAGAGGGAAGAATTCCCCCCACCTCCCTCCACCCACCCCTTTTGTTATCTATAGTTAAGAGTCTCTCTTTTTTTCCCCTCCCCTACGTTCGTGTTTTGTTTCTTGAGTGAAATCATACGGTGTTTGTCTTTCTGACTTATTTCACTTAGCACAGTACCCCCTAGGTACACCCACATTGTTGCAAATGGCGAGATTTCATCCTTTGTGATGGCTGAGTAGCATTCCATTGTCTACACATACCACCAGCTCTTCTCTATCCATCCATCAGTCAATAGACATCTGGGCTCTTTCCATAGTTTGGCTGTTGTTGATAGATATTTGTGTTTAATAAACCTAAAAACGAAGGAACTTCCACTCCCTAAAAGTACAACACCCCTTAGAACAGTGTGAGGGAGCAGGGAGGTCATCTTTTCGGGGCCAGCCTGCCCAACTGTCACGTAGAGTGCCGGCAGTAGGGAGGGGAACCGAGGCCGTCTGTGCCGGGCGAGCACCGCAGGCCCCGGTGCCCAGGTGTGTTGGGGGCTGGCGGGACACCCTCCTCCCCCGGGCTGGGAGCCTGACAAGGAGCTGGCTGCTAGTGTGACTCCCTGCTCAGGGGGTGCATGGGGCTCCCCAGGTGAGTGCCCCCGGCCGTCCCGTCCCGTCCAGCACCTGGGAGGCTCTGGGACGGGGTCCTTCTCCTGGCAAGCAAAGATCCGAAGCGCCATCTTCTGTCCCACCCTGCAGAGTCCCCAGACGAGGCCACGGGGGCGGACCAGGAGTCGGAGGACGACCTGAGCGCCTCGCGCACATCGCTGGAGCGCCAGGCCCCCCACCGCGGCAACACCATGGTGCACGTGTGCTGGCACCGCAACACCAGCGTCTCCATGGTGGACTTCAGCATCGCCGTGGAGGTACGGGCCGCTTCTCTCTGTTCCCCGGGCCCCTGAAGCCCTGATCAGCCCTGTCCCGGAGTTGGCTGTGGGGCGGAAGACAGCTGCAGGTGGCGGGTCGCTCAGGGAGGCGGTGGGGGGGAGGCAGTGGGGGGGTGGCCGGGGCCGTGTCGGCCGTGGTTCATGGAAGAACTCCCGGGACCCGGCCCCCGACCCCACCACCAGGTGCCATCCAGCAGAGGCGCTGGATCACCTTCTTAAACCCTGAACACCTCCGAATCCCTACATGGGCCTGGCCCAGAACCTGTCACACGAGATCGAGCAAAGGACAGCAGTGGGCCAGCCCGCAGTGCTGGGGAAGAGCCAGACATCGCACAGGCACTGAGAATGTTCTGTGGGGGTGACCTTCACGGTTCCACGGTGCTGCTTCTACTCAGTTTCCCCGATACAGGGGGTAGCCTAAGCCCACACCTGTTTCTGAAAACGTCCTCACGAGCACCTGGGTGAGGTGCAGGCCCTGGGTGACAGCTGCACCGCTGGGGGCTGGCAGTGAACGGCCCCTCCGCTCCGACCCCAAAGGGACGGACGGACGGACTCTGTCCTGCCCAGCGCGCTGTACTCAGCATCCTCCCTCCCTTCGCCCTTGGGAACTAGAGATCCTCCCAGGCATGGGGGGCGGGGGGTGACCTTTCCAGCACAGAGGGAGCAGGGAAGAACTGGCGACCGGCTGGTGGGCAGGGACCCCTCCACACATCTAGCTGGTCCGCGGAGGCCGGAGTAAGTGGGTCCCTGAGGGAGAAGTGGCCTTTGCTTCACTTGGTACCGGCCTTCAAGGCCTATGGTTAGGACTGTCGAGGCATGGGAAGCTGGTAGGCTTGAAACCTCTTTTGCAAGCCTGGGAGCAGTTAGGCCACTCAAGAGCAACCCCCCCGCGTCGGGTAGCTCCCGGGGGCCCGGACACTGCAAGGCCAGCTCCTTTGGGGTGACTGGCCTGCACAGCAGCCTGCATCAGGTGAGTGTTCAGAGCCAGTTGGCAAACTGGCCCGCAGGCCAATCCAGCCCAACCTCACTTGGTCACAGCCCAGGCACTAAGAACAGGATTTGACGTTAAGTGGCTACGACATGTATCCGACTTTGCCGCTTGGCCCGATGAGCTCAGACTGCGTACTGTCCGGCCCGCCGAGGAAGTCTGCCGGCCCGCGGGGAGATGGCTGCGAGCCCGGGGTGTGTGGGTTTAGGGTAGCAATAACGCGGGTGAGCCACGCATGGAATGGGCTCGTCTGTCCCTCTGCCAGTGCCCCCGCCCTTGCCAGGTCCCCCTCCGCAGAGCAACAGGCAGGGGGCGGCAGCTCCTTCCCTCCTGAGTCCACTGCTGAGCTCCCCACACGAACCCTCTTCCCCTCATGTGTCCTGCGAGTATTGGGGGTATTTGGGGAAGATGTGAAGAGGTGCTAGGTGGGACCCAAAGGTGGTGAGCAAGCTAAGAGCACCGAGGGTCCACATTAGACGTGGGGGTCTGCTGCTGCGAGGGCCAGGGGGGCGTTCTTGTGTTTTAGATCGGAGTTGGTTAGGTGCTGGAAGCCTGGGCAGAGGCGGGCAGGCTGGGTTCAGCAGAGGACCAGGAGCAAAGGGACAGCACAGAGGGAATCACGGTGGGGTCTCTGTGACTCTCCTGGGCTGCCGTAACACAGTCCCACCGACTGGTTCCCACAAGGGAAGCTTATTCCCTCGGGCTGCTAGAAGCTGAGGAAGGGCCCTTCCGTGCCTCGCCCCCAGCTTCTGGTATTTGCCAGCATCCTTGGTGTCTCCTGGCCTATAGATGCATCACCCCGAGCTTGGCCTCCATCCCACTTGGGGTCCCTGTGTCTTCTTGTAAGGACACCGGTTACTGCATTAGGGCCACCCCACCCCAGTAGGACCGCATCTGAACTCCGCCACCTGCAAAGACCCTATTTCCAAATAAGGTCCCATCCCCAGGTACCTGGGCTTTGGACTGGAACAGTCTTTGGGGGGAACGCAATCCAATGCAGAATAAAGACCGAGCGGCAATGTGAGCCAGGAAGCGGGCAGAGGGCAGAGGCCTTCCCTCCGCTGGGGAGTCCAGAAGCGGAGGCCACTTGTTGGCCAGTTGTCAGTCAAGGATGTTGACTGGTCCAGCCTCTCGAGAAAAGAGGCAGCAGGGCTTCGGGGCCCTCTGAGCTGAGAAGGGGACAGAAGTGTAGCTGAGCGAAGCCCACGGGAGGGGGAGTTTGAGTGCAGCTGGTGAGCCCAGAGGCCCCCAGGACCGTGGGGCCCAGTGGGCCGAGCACGCTGTGGGAACTGCACCGAGAGCAGGATTTCCGGAGTCCCGCTGCGGGGGGGGTGGGTTCGGGAGGAGAGTGCGCTCTGTTCCTTGCCTTCGCTGTGCCTCGGAATCGTGTGTGATGCCCCCCCCCATTCTCCTTGCTGCCCTCACCTGCTTGGCACTCAGAGCACCCCATTTTCTTGTACGCCCGTGGGTGAGTGGCAGGCAGGGTGATGCGGGGGGCGGTCTCTGGGGGATGGGATGCTCTGCCTGGAGCTTGTGCTGGTTGCGGGGACCCACGGGTTGGTGGGTCTGTCCGCCTGTGTTCTTTGAGCCTGGAGCACCGTTCGCTTCTGTTGGCCCATCACTAAGAGAGACACTTGGCCTTCTCTCTCCTCCTGGCCCCGGGACCTTACTTACATAGGTACCTTAAACATGCTCTTTGGGAGAACAAAGCAGACTCAGGTGTATTTTTAAATTTTTTTAACTTGCCCATTTGACCACCAAGTTGTGGGACTGTCCCCAGCATCCTGCCTCAAAAGCCTCCAGGGTGATGAGCAACCGGGTGCAGACGGGCAGTCTCACCGTCTCGTGTGTGTGTGTCCCCCCCCCCCCCCGCCCCTCCGAGCTGGGGAGTTCAAGCAGGACGCCTGTGGAAGGCCTCTCTCTACGGGGGATTACTCTTCTGTTGGGACGGACTCTCAGGTGCAGGGCCCAGGCCGACACCTTCGGCTGCCGGCCCGCGTTCCGGCCAAGGCCACCAGAGGGCGCGCGGGGCCCGACAGCGTCTTGTCCACGGGTGATGGAGCCTTTCCTGCGTCGCCGTTCTGGGGGAGCGCCAAGCTGTAGGGGAGGGTCCCTGGGTGAGATGCAGCACGGGGACAATCTGATTAACAACTGAGGTCACCATGAGGGGCATTTCCTTGTAAGAGACAATGATAACTCAGATAATGCACCCCCAGGGGGGGGCACACGCAGGAAGCCTCACCCCAGCCTCCCAGGAGCCCCAGCAGGAGCCCCCTGGGCCGGTGCCCCTCACACACATGCTTGTCCTTCAGAATCAGCTGTCCGGGACTCTGCTGAGGAAATTCAAGAACAGCAGTGGGTGGCAGAAGCTGTGGGTGGTGTTCACGAACTTCTGCCTGTTCTTCTACAAGTCTCCCCAGGTAAGCACCGGCCCCAGGGCAGGGGGCCGCGAGGGGGGCAGCCTTCCTCCGGAAGGACGGCGAACCACCTGGTGGAGGCCATCTCCCCGGGACCCTGAGTTCCAGGGGACAGTGGACGCTGTCCGCGTGCGTGAGGAGCACTGCGGCCTGAGTGAACACGGGAGGGGGAGGACTGAGGTGAAGGCTCAGGGCCAGAGCAGGCCGCACTGGCCGGCCTGTGGGATGAGAGGCTGCGGCTAGGCCCCCGCAGCCTGGGGCCACCTCTCCACAGCCCCCTTCTGTTGACTCTGCCCAGGACACTCACCCCCTGGCCAGCCTCCCTCTGCTCGGCTACTCACTCACCATTCCCTCAGAGTCTGAGGACATCCACAAGGACTACGTGTTCAAGCTGCATTTCAAGTCCCACGTGTACTACTTCAGGGCTGAAAGTGAATATACATTTGAAAGGTAATGATCTCCGGCCCAGGGCATCTCCAGAAGAGGGCCCCTCCTGTCTCCCAAGCGAGCCCAGTGAATGAGGCCCTTCTAGTAGCGGCTGCTCACTGCCCCCTGTGGGCCTGGGCATTTACTCACTTCCAAACTGTCCTGGACCTTTGGGGCGGGGGGCTCGGGTGAGGAAGGTGGTCCCCTGGCCTGACAGTCGTATCCACCTCTGTTCTTCTAGAAGGGACGGACTTCCCTGGTTGAGTAACATCCGCCCTTAACCTGTACAGTTAAGGCTACACACGATGCACTTTTAAATCTCTAACCAGTGTGGTTTTTAGTGTCTGCAGTATTTAGTCAGAATGTACCAGATTGTGCTAGAGCCAGACCGCCACCCAAGAAGGGAACAAATCCTAGTGCTTCTCGGGGTTAGCTGATATTATTAGTAAGGCTGCCTGTGAGCCAGAGTGGGGCCCAGGAGCTGCAATGTTCAAAGAAACATGAAAGACCCGGACTATCACGTTTGACCAATTTCAGACGTTTCCTAGAATTTCAAATAGAAATTCTGGGCCCCCAGGCCTGGGATCCTGTAGCCAGTGTCACTGTTAAAGCACCGGGGGGGGGGGGGGTCCACAGGCCACAGACCAGACCGGGCCAGGGGTCACCAGCCCCTTTAGGGAGTCCTGGCCGTGCTGTGGGGACCAGAGCGTCCCACAGGTTAGGACCCGTGCCCAGTCGCCGGGAAAGCTAGTTGAGGGGCAACAGGGTTCAAGCTGCCCCCAAGCACTTCCTAGTACACTGCTTGCAAAGTGAGCCCAGGGGATAACTCCTCCCAGATCTGAGCTGGCCCGGGGAGCCCTGGACAGAGGCGGGATGGTGTCACTGACAGTTGAGCCTGGTAGTGACAAGACCCTAAAAAAAAGACCAGTGATGAATTTCTCAAAAGCCCTACTCCCCGTTTTTCACCCTCGGCACTGCTGACATGGAGACCGTTTAATTCTTTGGAGGAGGGGGAGCCCTGGCCTGTGCATTAGAGGATGGGGAGCACGCCTCACCCACTAGAGGCCACGTGCACCCCCTCCTCGTGACACCCGAAAACGCTGCCAGCCCTTGTCCCTGGGGTTGAGAGCCACCGCTGTACCGCAAATACTCAAATGTAGGAACCGGGCTGCAGGTCCTGGTCCCCCAGGGATTGGGAGGCCGCCGGAGGGCACGGAGCCACCTCAGCCGGGCGGGACGCCTCCGTCCTGGGCGCTTCTGCGGCTCTGCAAAGGGCCCACCCAGGCCCGTGGTTCTCAAACTGCTCCGCAGGCACACCTCGAGGAACCCTTAGCCTTGCTTTCGTGTTCTTGGGGTACCAGGAGCTCTCATTCGAGAACCCTTCTGCTAAACTGGCACGTCACAAACCAGGCACCGGCCCGCCGTGCTGTGTCGTGTGAGTCACGAGGTGTGTCAAGTATCATGAAGCCGGTACAAGGAGAAGAAAAAAAAAAATCCTGCGCAAGTTTATCGAACGTGGCCCTTGACCCTCCTTTCGTTCTCTGGCCTCAGGTGGATGGAGGTGATCCGCAGTGCGACCAGCTCCGCCTCCCGCGCCCACATCCCGAGTCACAGAGAGTCTCACGTCTACTGAGGGCAGGACACGAGTGTCGCGGGGCTCGGCTGTGGCCGTGTCCCTGGGAGACCCTGCCTGTGCCCTGTATTAATGAAGCCTAGTAAAATTAACACCCGTCTGGAAACCCAAAACGTGGTTTTACAGCAGCTCTCCTCGGTCCCCACAAAACCCCTTTTACCCTTGTCTTTCTGAGCAGAACAGTGCTCCCAGCTCCCACGCTGGGCGCTCTGCGTCCGTCATTCCCTGGTGGGCTGTTTCCAGCCTATGCCAGTATTAAAACCTTGTCACTACGAGAGTGCCAAATGACCGTTTTTCTTCCGCAACTGCACCTTAAAAGCAGTACAACCCTATCTGTTCAACCAAAAGACAGGGCAAGTGCTCTTCTTTTTCTTATAAAAAAATTTTGATTTCTAGGCTGGTGCGTTTAAAAAAAATTTTCCAATGTTTGTGATACACATGGCACAATCTTAAGCAAATGAGATCATTTTCGGATTTCGTTTTTTCAATCTTTCTACTTTTATAATAATAGCAAGTTAGTAGGATTTACTTCTTTGATTAATACAAGCAGTTTGCAGCACACTACGTACGTTCCCCTCGGGGGGTTTAGGCTCCAACAAAATGCTGTTCTTGGCACAAGTTGACCAAATTGTTTCGTGATTCCTCTTTACAAAGCAAAGCGGGCTTTGTTCTGGGCGGAGCAGCAGCAATCCAGCACAAGGCCTGCGCTCCCGCCGTCCTACGAGTGGTGTGTATGATGGGACGCTCTCAGCTGTGGTGTTTGCTGTCTGTCTCACAAGCATGAGAACCTGTATGTCAGTGATCAGGGCCATTTGTGATCTGTGACGTTCCGGAGGGTCTCTGTGAGCTTCCGGGGGCCGCGACCCCCAGCCCCTGTGCTCATACCTATATCCTGCAACGGTGGTTGGGGACTGCACATTCACTAGTATATATTGTGCCAGTCTTCAAGAACATTCTTTTCTCCTGTTTGTACTCATCCCTCCCCACCCCCCCAGGCATGGGGTATCAACAGTATGACCTTGCGCATCCTTGACAGTCGGGACGACACAGGGAATGGGGCTCCAGGACCTGCCGGGCCCACTAGTCAAAACCCGTTTGCCTCTTCTCTGTGGAGATCGGGAGGCTGCTACTCCCTAGTGTCCTTAAACCCTTTCCGACACAGGCCGGAGGGGGCAGCCCATCCAACCTGTGGCTCCCGGTGCCTGCACCCCAGCCCCGCGGGCCGGCGTGGCAGAGCTGGGACTGGACCCATGGACGAGGAGCTCGAGATGTGTTATCGTTTGCCTTACGACGTGTACCAGATGGTTTCAAGTACTAACAAAAGGGAATAAAAATACCTCACGCCACAATCCAGCATACTGAAGTTTTAAGGCAAAACATCACCCACCTTGTCTGGTCTTTATTTCCGTCTGACGCGGGCGGGTTGCAGGGACGGAGCTGCCCAGGGGTGGACAGGGCTGGTCCCTGCGGGGGCGGGGGGGGGGGGAACACGAGCACTCAGCCACGTGTGAGAGACACAACATGGAACCGGGGAGGCAGAACCTTGCCGGGAGCCTGTCCGTGCTATAAAAGGACTAAAACCCGAGGGATGAAAGTAAAGACAGGGAGGGGGACTACCTTCCAAGTCCAGCTATTTCCCGGAGGCCTGTCCCACACCCCAGCCGCAGGACCAGCTCCCTGGGAGGGTGAGCGTAGGCAGCAGCTGATGGGACAGAGGCAGTCAGTCACTGAATTCTACAAGGCTCGGGGATGAGGGGGTCTAGTTCGTCTCCCGAGTGAGTCCGAACCATGTCAGTGCTGGTGCTGGTTCGCACCGCTGGGGTCCCCCTGTGACTTCGAAGTGCGAACCATGTGGGCAGTGGAGACCACGCCCAAGCTGCCGGAACCGAGCGGGAGTTTCGGAGACACCCGGTGTCTCAGTCCGTTCGGGCGCCTGTTAACAGATACCAGAAATGTATCTCACAGTTCTGGAGGCAGGAAGGTGCGAGATCAAGATGCCGGCAGATCTGGTGTCTGGCGAGAGACTTCCCGGGTCACAGTCGGCTGTCTTGCTGTGTCCTCACGGGGCTGAAGGGAGGAGGGTCTCGGGGTGGGGGTGGGGGTGTTCTTACAAAGTCCCTAATCCCAGCACGGGTCCTCCGCTCTCCTGACCGCATCACCTCCCAGTACCATCCCACTGGGGGTTAGGATTTTAACGTATACATTTGGGGGCTGGGGGGGGGGGAACAGACTATTCCCCCTACACACACGAGACCGAATTACAGAAATGGTTTTCTGGGAACTTTATTGGCCCCTGCATGACACAGCTCCCATGCTGATGAACGTGCCACACAGCACTCCCGATTTCCTGCCGTATTTGATAGCAGAAATAGAAAAACGCTCATAAATGGACCATGTTTTGCCAAAAGAAAGGTACAAAATGCTACATGAAGAACTGCACTAGATGCTCCATGAGACTAACCCGACAACATTGTTGGGTTCAGAAGGCACGTGGCACATGGTCACATCACAACAGTCACAAGGCCAGCTCTGAAATGCCAAGGCACCCAAACCCCAGTGGCCACTCGCTTGTGCAGCCGGCTAGGACGCAGGAGAGAATTTCTAGAAGGCCTAAAAACCCAGCCAGACAGAGCCCACTGCCTCCATGTCCACGGAAGCCTCTGCCAAGGCCAGGTGCACCACTGCCTTCTCCGGTCTGAGCAGGGAAGCTCCGGGGGCCGGTGGCATCAGGAGGCTTCCAGGCGCCCGCGGACGCATCCCAGATGCTGGCCTCGCAGGTCTGGCTGTGTGGCGGCAGCTTCCGCCGGAGCTCCGTGCGGACGGGGCTACACTGCGGCCGGCCTCCCCGGCTCACAAAGCGGCCCCCAGCCCACGTGCCCTCGGAAACCAGACCTCGGCTTGCGTGTCCACAGAAAGCGGCAGGCCAGAAGAGACCCGGGAAGAGATCCACTTTCCAAAGCTACTCAAACCACTTCTTCCCCCGGGAAGCTTGATCGACGGAAGAGGCCCATGTAAGCTCGGAAAGGATGATCCGCTGCTTTCCCCGGGGGGCGGCGCTGTGCTGACCATCCAGTGGCTGCAGACTGGGTAACTATCGTACCAGTATGCCTCATCGGACCCCGGTCTCCCCGCCAGCGTGCCTGTTCCTTGCACTGAAGACCGGCTTCAGCATGTCTTCTTGAGGTCACCGTCCACGTGCAAATGTGCACAACTCTAAGAAAGCTGCTGTCTACACCGGCAGGCTGAAGATCGGACAAGCAGCGCCCTCTGGAGAATGCTGCGTCATTGCTTTATGGGATTCTCCCACAATGAACAAAACTGACCTTGGGCTTGCGCCTCGCACAGAGAAACAAACCACTCCCTCATACAGAACACTTGGTAGGAAACCGAATGAAACATCCTCAGGTTTCATCATCCAAGTTAACGTCCCTGCTGCCGAAGAACATACAAGGTAAGGATCAGCAATTCAGTTCTATTTCCCCTAATCAAAACGTATCCCTTATAGAAATCATTCAGCTTCTAACGAAAAAAAAATCATGACTTAATTTTAGTTTTTTAAAAAAAAACGACGCTCCATTAACAAATCTAAACAACACACACACACTCGAACCTCTCTGGCTCTGGCCCTCTGTCCTCTCCTGGAACCCAGGCCACTGGGGCGGCAGATATCGATCGAACCTTCCGTCCCAAAAACTTCCTTGCTTCCAAAAATCCTTTGTCTTCCCCTCCAGGAATTGCTACACCAACAAGAGAGGACAATGATTCGCATCGACAAATAGAACATGATGCCACATGTACTTAGGAATTGCTGCAGGTACTCTCCCCCCCACCCCAGAGAAATGATGCCTCCTGCCTGCCCCGGGCCAGCAAGGCCATGCCACAGGCCAAGAGACACACAGACCCCCGGCTGACAGAGAGCAGCCCGGGGCTTCTTTAAGAAAACAAAGCCACCCTTAGTCAAGGTCCCTGGGAAGAGAGCACAATTTCACAAATCAGCAGTATCCAGCCACGTTTTCCCAATGGCCAATTTTTTGAAAGTTGCACAGGGAGCTGACCCGGACACTGAGCATTCTGAACGTGGGCACTTCTTTCTGGCAGTGCCGAATGTCTCACCTTCTCTCTCTCTCACACACACACGACAGGTACACTGTCCCCGGAAGAGTCACGTTTCAAGGAAAAGTACGCAAAGTCAGTGTGTTATAAAATTTATTCGTGTAAGCATTCAGACATTTTTAGGTGGGCAAGATGGCACGCGGGGTCCACTACGAGCGCGACAGGAAGTCCTACCGGGAAGGACGGGGGCAGCGCGGGGCCGGCAGGGACACGACTCCGAACGAGCATGAAGACGAGAGCACTTCGTCGGGGAGGGACTTAAAATAATAATTTAAAGCTTCATGAGGCAAGATATGTTCCAATTCAAAACACTAAGAAATAGTACCATCAAATGAAAGGAAATCAACCTGTGCGTGTACCCAAAGGGCCGTCGGGCAAACAAGAGGGGGACCTGCGTTTGCGGAGGTACAGAGGAGTGTTCCGTACGAGGGGCATAAAGTGGTATTAATGGCAAACCCTGCAAATACAAAATAAAACCCAAATCACTGATCACAGAATTCAAAATTTACATGTAATAAAGGCAAGGCAATAGACTCAAGTTATGGCCTGTCAAATATTTACTCCACTGACATTATCTACAGAAGCACTTGGCCAATTTGTACACAGTGATTCCTTATGCACGCCAAAAGGGTTTCCGTAAAAATGACGCTATATACAAATCTGTACACTGACCCACCAGAGCGATTCTCCGTCTCCCGCGGAGGGGGAGTCACCCACTTAAAGCAGGGTACCTGAGATTTCATTTCTTCAGTTGCCTTGTCATGATCCCAAATATACATTTCAGGGTTTGTTTTTGTTTTTAAAGACACTTTCCTTGATATGTGCACAATGGCTAAAATTAAAAAACAAGAACAAGAAAATAAAATGATCGCTTGCAGGAGCCGACCCTCCCCACCCCACCGAGCGCGTCCGTCGGGCGGAGGCCGGCGAGGGAGGGCCGCACGCCCCAGGACGGTGGGCACCCGCGGCCGGGGTGGGGGACAGTGGGGGGCCCCTGGATGGCACACACCGCTGCAGCGGGGGTCAGCAAAGGCTCTCGTGGACGTTTTCGGAGGAGGAGGAGGAGGAGGAGGAAGAAAAAAAACAAAACCCCAAATGCCAAAGGAATTTCAGTGGGTTGAAGTTCCTCCACCACTTAGAGAGTATCTAGGGAAAG